AGCCAAAGCTTGCATATTCAGGACATATGGATAAGCATTAGTTATCCATCCAACCCACCCAAGCTGTAACACCAAACTTTTTGAAATTGGATTTATATCTGTCTGCAAATCAATTTAAATGGGAAAGCGGAAAGTATGCCATCAAGCACAACTATCGAAAGCTTTTCTTTCATGAGTGTTCTCACAGGGATGTGCAGTGAATGTTTTGTCTCTTTCAGAGAAAGAAACTTTCAGCAAATGATGGACTCAGGGCTGTAAAACCTGGAAAGTCACATTCTTTAAATCGCTGAAATGACTTAGGAAACAAAGTCACATTTTGAAAAATATTTTAGGCTTATAGGAGCATAAAATTAGTTGGCTTTCACTTTTGAAATCGGGATTCAGTCTCCACTGCAACTCTGGAGCATTTCATCTGGAGTCTTTTTCTGGGGATTGCTTCTAATCTTTATGTCCTGTTTGGTGACAGTGAGGACAGTTTACAACATATTAGGGCATGCTGTGCATCTTGCAGGAGCGAGCTTATTAATTTAAATATTTCATGTGAAGTGAGCTAACATTTTCTTATATATTTTATGCACAGACAACACATAAATATGTATAAATATACATAATTATGTACACACACCCCCTACATATGTGTGCGTGTATATAGATGTATAACGTGAATGGTGACCAACCAATCACCTCATTAGCTGTTCCACTGCCAAAGCATGTCAGCAAAAAATCCTTCCCAGTACCACAGTTCTGTGGCGCCAGAAACTGTGAGAACGAGCCATGGCTTAGATGGAAATGTTGTCCCAAGTAATTGAATAATCTCTTCTGAAGAGAGTCTGAATTTTTTTTTTCTTTTTGTCCCCACACTCTTATTGTTTCAAATGTAAAATAAGATGTTGTCATCTTCCAGGCATTCCAAAAAAACAACAAGAAAAACCCATCGACATTGCAAAGGAATAAGTATTGGGATGGTACCAGGCTGAGTTGCTGGCAGTCAGTGCGATGGGTGTGTTTCTGGAAGGGAAAGAAATAGGCCAGCTTTTTCTCCACATAACCACAGTCATTGTCTATCGTAAGAGCCTAATTGATTGATAAACTGTTAGAAATATTTCTTCTCTTCTTTTTGGTAAAAGCTGTGATCTCCTACCAATTTGTCAGCTTGTTCTTTTAGCTGTCCCCCTCAAAAACAAACAAACAGAAAACCCCATTTTTATAACTGCGATTCCCATGAGAGGCGGTCATTGTTTTGAAGCTTTCAACAAAAAGTTAAGATTAATGGTGCGCGTTCCCAGATGTTACTCTTTCTAAGTTCATTTACCCCAGAATAAAGATACTCGTTTCTAAAAATACATGGTAGAAATCTGTCTCATAAAACAGCTTCAAAGCTTACTTGGTTTTGTTGGCATTTAATTTTTCATTACTCTATCAAAGTTTTGCCCACAGATCGCTCTGTAATCATTCAGATTTGCAACAAACCATTCTTTCAGTAACATTTGCATTAGACTTACACTAGCAATCCTTTTGGGGCTTGTTTTCATTTACCACACTTGTACTTTCCATCCTGAATCACAGCGGCCATTTAAAACATGATGGTGAAGTTAGCTGCTTCGCTTTTTTTACACAGCACAGTGCTGTTTTGCTGCAAAGCATAAATCTTCCATCAGTAGCGTCTCATGTCACCAGGAATCGCTAAGCATTTATTTCTTCCAAACAGCACTGATGGCAAGTTTATTATTTTGCCACTGGTGCCATTCATTACAAATTTACTAGAAACTTCACAAGTTTGCCATTAGCTGAAATAATTCTTAGAAATGCAATGCAGGGCAATTAGGGGCTTCAATCTTTCCAATAACCAGAAATTCCCTGAAAAGCCTAAATATCATCTGTTTTCAAGGAGGTACTTTATTAGAGTGTTGTGCTGAGCATCTCAGCCCCAGACTCAAGTTAAACCCCCCCCAGAACAATTTCTCCCCATCTGTTTGCAAAGTTTGGGCAATTATTTATACAGCGTGCTGTTTTTTCCCGGAAGAGAAATGCCTCGGGACTCTATTTTTAACAACAGTGAAATACCAGCAGGCTTTTGAGAACATCCCTATGAGAGCAAAACATCATAGTCACTGCTATAGTTACAAATGCCTCTGACTCCCAGGTGCCTCTGGGACAAGTACTGGAAAAGATGGAGAATGGGCAAAATTCCTACCCCAGGACATGAAAAATTCCATGCGATGGTATAAAAAAAGCATCCAAACAATTGCTCTGGGGGCAAAAGTGCTGGTCAGAGTCCTGGGTAATGATCGTAGCAATGGGCACCTGGTAGAGGTCTAATGAGGTCATCGGGGCCTTCCACTGACTTCAGAGCAAGTTGGAAATAACTGTAGGGGAGGTTGGGAGCTCTCTGCATCCTTTCCCCCTCATGATTCTGTCTTAGGAGGCTCTGGGATTTAAAGAGAAGACTAAAATGAAGATAGCAGATTTATTGGCTAAATATCGTTGTTACCCAACTCAAAAAGCCAATTCAGTATGAATTAAGCCAGGACTGAACAAGAGCTGTGAGTGTTACCACACAGATAGATTTAAAGGGGGGGGGGGGGTGGCGTGTTTTACTAGTGAAAGTACTATGAAATATAAGACTTTGGGAAATGGAGTGATGTTCATATAATCAAGTTGTTGGATTTTTTTTCCCTGTCCCAGTTTTGATAAGATTGAACTGTAACTAAGACGTATTTTAATGGTTGGCAGAATCTCTGTAGGAAGCTACAAAAGTATATATTTCCTTTACTGTCTTGAAATTCTCATCCTAAGGTTGAGAAGATAATTTGAGAACTTCTGAAGTAACAGAGAGGTAAAAAATATCTGAGTTGCCTGTGGTCTCCTTTTTACCTTTTATCACTATTCAGAACAAGGGAAAAATATCCTTACTTTGGTCCTTAATAATAGTCATGGTCTGGTCATGAACCAGCAGCTTGGCTCCAAACTGTTTCCAAATTTTAAGACAAGTCACATTCAGATCAGCAGGATGGTACTGATAGAGTCTTAGTCAGAGAGGTACGAGCTTTTCCCAGTTGCATTGTGAGATTTTGGAAGGGGAAAGGAGGAAGATGGAGGTTCAGTGTTGTGCTTCAGACATAAAGGCAGTATTTCTGACTTGAGTGTGAATAAGGACCATGTGGCGTATGTCCGAATGATATCCACACATAAGCAACTTTTCCTGCTTTCAGACTTTGTGTCAGGCTCACAATCCAATCCAGGTCTTACCCAGGACCTCCAAAAGTGCCAAATTTCAGGTGGGCATAGGTCAGATTTCAAGTTTGCCTGGATTCTCAGAAGGGACTTGTGATTTCACGTCAAAATTGCACAAAACTCTGTGGCTGCTTTCGTAAAGGTCCAACCCAGAAAACAAAGAAAACTGTCCTTGGGCAAGGGAATCACTATTCTCCATGTATGCATTTGCTTTTGCTCTTTTTTTTTCTCTTTCACATCTAGACTGCAACATGTTCAAAACAGGACATACATCAGCATCTCCATGGGGGGTGGCACAGCACCCACCACAGAGGGTTGCCAGTTTAAGCAGGGATCATCATGCATCTAGCAGTAATAAATGCTCCTTTGCAAGTTTAACATGGGGCTTCCATCTTGTTTTGCATCCAAATGCAATACATGACACCGAGGTGAAATGCCCAGGCTAAGAGAAGTGATCAGACCTGGAGTTGGTCTTCCAAGCTGCAATAAAGCAGTGTGAGGTGTTCTTACCTCCTAACAGAGCAAGTTTTCAGGGAAAAAAAAATTGTGCCCCTCTTAAGGATGTTTTTCTGTCTGGCTCTTCAGTCAGCTGTCTCCATATCTGGAGACCTCAGTATCAAACATCAATTGAGTATCAAGCGTCAATCAAGTATCGAGCCTGTCTCTACTTGAGATTATGCCCCATAACTGATCTCTTTCACCACTTTGAATGTATATAACACTTTAATCGCAATGGATAACTGCCCATACACCACCTTCAGTCTCTGTGCAACCAACTGCAATCCCCAGGAGGGTTTGTTGCATGGACTGGGTGTTAATAAGCATTCTCCAAAATACAGGTAGTAAGATAATTGTACTGCTTCTGTCACCACCAATTCAACCATCTCTGCCCACCTCAGCAGTTAGTGCTTGGTGTAGGACTGAAAGCACACACACTGGTTTAGGGGAGAAAATTTCAGCCACACTTTGGGGACTAGGTGTGGAGGAGTGGTATATTGGAGTCTCCTACAACACCAGAGGGTAGGATCAGCACTGTTTTACCTGGTAATAACACTTTGAAGGGTAGACTAAAATCTCTCCTGAGGTACGTATATATTATGCAGAAAGATTTGTTATACTTTTTAAAGGGCAAGCTTTGAGAGCTGTGAGGATTGTTATTCAATGGACATAAATTAGCGTAGCTCCATGATGTTTATTGTTTCCACAGTCACGGTTGTAGACATAAAACTATTTCTTCTTCCAAAGTGACACTTACGCAGCTGTTTGTAGCCTGCCAGCGCAAAATGGACAATTGTGCATTTGCTATGAAGTTTGTATTTCATTAGAACTGTGGTCAAATAAGTTTTTTGCTTTTGGATGGAATAAATAGCTGCAAGTGCTGTGGGAGTTCAGCAATGCAGACACTCAGTCTTGTCCCATCACAAGCCCTGACATCTCTTGCTAGATTTTTGCAAAGGAGACAAAAAGCAAAGATTTATCGTTATGCCGAACAGCTCCAGCAAAGTCCTCTCTGTTATCAGTGGGACTGGAAAAAAGGCTTAGGAAGCAGAAATGTTATGGGGACCATCTATAGTACATGGCCAGCTCTGAATAAAAAGAAACAGCAACAAAACGTAAACATTAGATGCCATTGGGTAACTTGATGCGGGTGTGGGATAACAGCAGAGAGAGGGTTACGTTCTCGGGGAATGCCTCCTGCCACCAAGCCAGCCTCCCCCCGTCCTCCAGCGCACACGTTTCCCCATCCCTCGTCCTTTCTGGAATACCTTTCTTCCAGCCTCATTGTTGTGCAAGTTCATCAGCCTCCGTGCATTCTTTTTGATTTCTCGGGCATCAACAAACCTCCGGGAGAACTCAATGCCGTATCTGATATCCGCAGAGCAGCCTCCCCACTTCCAGCCCTCCTCCTGGTTGTAGTAGCCCTGTTTCTCTCGGTCACAGCCACAATTGCTGAGGTTGCCCTGGCTGCAGGCGGCTGTGACAGCGTGTGCAACCCCGGCAGCAGTAATGGCATAGGTGAACGCAGCTTCCCTGCTTCCTGTGGAGAGAAGCCAAAAGCTGATGGGTTGGCAGAAAGGCAGCACTTGCTAAAGAAAGTACACACATTATCTACAGCAATGGTGTCAGGCAAGAATGCAAGGAGGGCATTACTTCTGGTGGGTTATTCTCACTCTTACAGAATTACATACATATTTAAAATGCTTGGCACAACTGGGGCATTTACCCCAGCTAAGCACCAGCCATACAACAGTCCCACCTAACCCCCTTCACCAGAGGGGAATTTGGCAATGAGTCTGAGCAGTGGTAAGGTGAGGCAACACGATTTGTTTTTACACTGTCTAGTCGAGTCTGTATCAGATGAGTAATAAGCGAGTCACTGGTGGCAATGCTCACCACAAAACAATAGTTACCTCTAACCGTTGCCACCGCATGGAAAAAGAAAAGCATTCAGGCAGCGTAAGAAATACCAGACCCTTCAGGTGTGCAAAAGGGCTAGGACACAAATGGGGAAGACTATTAATCCACCTTTATAAATGCTCCAGCGGCATCCATTAGTGATGCTGAGTGTAAAGTATTGCAAGAGAAGCCTGTAGAGATAAGAGCTAGGCGGGTTTTGTTTTCTTTCAAGGTAGAGACTACCCCTTTCCCTTGTTGACCTCTTCCACATTAGTTTTGCTGTAACTACCCTTTTCCACTCTCACTCTGACTCAAACCTCTGCATCACCTTGGCTATTGAGCATGCAAGGGGCGTGGAAGTGCTGTGGCGGCATTTCCTCTCCAAAACAAGTGAGATACTGTCACGGAAGCACAGTCTTGTTTAGAAAAAAAGTTCTTTTAGAAAAAAAAGTTCTTTTTGGTTCTCTGTGATACCATTAGTTGCCAAGGTTCCTCATTCCCGATTCCACATTATAGCTGTTGATAGTATGTATATGAAGAGAGGCAAATAAACCCCCTTTCTTTACTAGACACTGTTTGGCTGAGTTGCATGTGGGGTGCACGCAGATAGAGAGGCAGAACGATCGAAAGGGATGCTACAGCCCATTCGTGCTCTCACATGAGACCGCGCTCTGTCGCTGGCTTAATGCAGAGCTGGATCATGGCCCTTGGTGTTTTGCTGTTCTTATTTATAACCTTTCCCTAAAAGTTGCCTTCTCAGTGCTATCCTCATTTTCTTCTGTGTGTTTATCTGGTGATAAACAGACAATCTTGTAATACTGCAGCGAAAGAATAACTGTAAAGAATTTGTAGGAAGTTGCTGAAATGCTTTAATGACCACACACAGAGCTTTAACATTGTTAGTGGATTTAGGAAGGAAAAAAAGAACAAATTTGCCAGAGGAGAAAAAAAAAAAAAAACAACTTAGAAGCTATTTTTAATTTTTTATTTTAGGATTCACAGATATCATAACCATTCTGGAATGACCAGTGCACAGCGTGGGGATTTTTATGTTTCTTATTTTCATAGATAGCTTTCTGAAAGTTTACAGTGCTGCCAGATATGAGAAAGATCCTACAAGAAACAATCATAAACTGGTTTTTGGCACCATTTGCTTCTTTCTCCAAAGCAGTAAAAAAGAAATTTAAGGTAAGAGAAAAATAAAATGGTGCTGTGTTAAGGTTAAAGAAGGTTAAACCGAGTTGTGTATTATTTGAGTACATTGTGCAATAGAAGGACTGACTTTGCCTTCAGACACAGAAGTGTTTTGTTGGGTTGTACTATGTGTGTAGTCTGGTTCAGTGGTTCCCAAACCGTGGTCCGCAGAACACTGGTGGTCCAGGAGGCCATGGTAAAGGGTTTGCAGCTAATCCGCAAAGCTATATTAAACACTGTTTTTAATAGTGTTTTCAATTAAAAGTTTGATGATAACGATGCCTGGTGGTCCACAAGAAATTCTGAGGGTTGATAGCAATCCAAAAAAGTTTGGGAATCTCTGTTGTAGTTCCTAGTGTGTTCTCTACAAAACGCCTATCAATATTCACTCCTCTCTTCTTCACCCACCAGCTGAAGTCAAAGCCAAGACCTGTGTTGTAAAATGTACCCTGTTGATTTGCAGGATTTCTTTCTTCACCTCCTTTCAAAAAACCCTATTCTCATTCTACAAATTGAAAGATTGGAAATATGAGATATAATAGTAACTACATATATAGATACATTTTTCTTCCTCTTCAGGATGAGAATAAATGAGAGTGCAAAATCAGACCCAGGAAAATTTTTGAGTTCAGACACCTTCAAAACACATGTAGAAATGCTTATAAAGCGAAAGTAGAAACATGTTCCTGTCAGGGAACATAGCAGCTGTGAGCTACAGTTCAGTAGCCTTACTCAGAGATTAACCAGAGAGAGGTGGCTTACATTTTATGTTTCAGATCAATGTATACCACATGTATCCAGAGTAGAAGATAAGCCATTTTATCATGGTCACTGTGCCTGTGACCTGTCCGTGAGTCTTCACACGGCGCTTCCCTTGATCGGTTTTGTAAAACTAAAGAATATCCTGTCTTTGTCTGCCTTTTGCTCCCCCTCATTCCCATTATACCCCTGATTACCTTCAGGAACAGAGGAAAATATCTTTCTTTCACCCACTTAAGAGCTATAGCAGTGATGGAATTATCTCAAGTCATGGGATAATACCAAATGGAAACCATATCGACTCTCCGAAGAGATTACTATCCTGTTTCAATGCAGCTCGAAAACAAGAAGGGCTCAGAAATAAGATCTGGCTTGAAAATCCGATTCCTTTTGCAAGTTAAGTTGTCCTGCTAAGAATTAAGGTTTTTTGGGCTTAGGTTTTTTTAACTAGAGGATGTTCCAAAATTTCCCTTGAACTTCAGTGTAAGCATTACCTCAGCAGTTCTCTAAAGTCCTAGGATCAGTGGAGTCTATCAGAAAATGCTGATGGAGGAGGGAGGGGAAACCTCTGTGCTCAAATAATGTGTATGCTGTACACAAAACTTTCCATTAGCATGTCATCACTTGGAATCAGTTCTAAGCAAGTCTTTGTTAGGCAGCTAAAAATACTTAAGTAATGATTGCTGTGATACTTGAATGGAGAACAATAATCTCATTTTATGGAATTTTCTCAGATTTCAAAAATATTCTTGTTCTGCCATGAAACAGAGACAAATCTTCCCATAAATGTTCATGAAATGGAGAAAGATTATGAACAGCAGAAGATTTGGGATTTGACCCAACTTTGAAGCTAGATCTCTCTTTTTCCAGTGAATACTGTGGTCACCCAGTTATTTGGCACTATATATGCTCACTATCGGTATCTCAGAAGAAAAGTTCTTGTTTGATTCTTAATGTTTTCTGTCATGTAGACCAGAATAATTCTGTTGAGATTTTATTTTGGTAGAAAAGACACTTTTTAATGCAACCCTTGGATTCGTCTGTTTCCCTCTCAGAAATGCCTGCTTTGGTGTCAAAGACAACAGTTCTGATTTAATTCCCAAAACACAGAATGAATGTTTTCCTGAGTAACGTGAATGTTACTCTGTCCGATCTCATAACTGTCTGATCTGATAACTGTCTGATCTAATAAGTCCAATATGAGATCACCACTAGTACTAATTGAAATGAAGACTGTCGCCTTTGGCGGAGGTGCTGAAGATCACTTCCTGCAATCTACCAGGCCATGAGAGATGTCTTGCCTGCGGTCTGCTGGTCTGAGTTACTAACATTTGCCTGAGCTTATTTGCGTTCTGACTGAGGGCTGTATTTTAAAAGTGCTCTAATACCCAGCAATGCAGGCAGCTGATACTGCAACATCGCTTCCTAAAATGAGTGATATCTGGCAGATAGGGTGAGAGGAGCCTATTTATCCGTTGTTGGAGTTGTGGAGCAGCCTATACTTTACCTCTAATTTAGATGTCATCTCTGACTAAGTTTTAGATTGCTACCTGAGCAGTAAACTTAGTAAGGTCTAATGTGGAAATTATTACAAGTTCTATAATTGCTGTCGTTTACTACATTCTAGCATGCACATATTAAGCGGCGTATTTTCAGCATGTAACCACAATCAGCTGAGAATCATATATGCTAAATATATATTTTAATCATTCAGCTGTGATTCCGGGGTTAAAGATTTAACCGTTTTGCAGTTATTAGCAAGGCATCTATTTTTCTGAGTAACTAGACGAGAATATTACTATTCCACACATCATTCTGAAATGTCTTATGTCAGCAGCTAGATGAATAAGAGTGCCACTGAATGTCAACCATTAGAACCGTAATTTAACTTGAGGTATTAAACTGTAGAATATACACTGTTTAGCCAGTAATTTGCTAAATCTTGGATCAACAATGATAGAGAAAAATACTACATGCTGCTGTTAAACAAAACAAATTCCTTGTGTACTTTGACCATCTCTAGACACCAGATTGATTATATGACACAATACAATATAGGTCAGTGGTAAGAAGAAATGAACCACGGCAGAAGTTTGATTTTTTTGCCAAACCTATCCTTTTCAACAAGTCTTCTTTTGCGAATGAAAGCTGAGGACATATTGAGTCATTTTTTATGGGCAAAAAACAATAGATACATCTAGATGAGTAAACTAAAACTCAAACAGCACCCCAAGTAGGGCTGGATGAAGACTTTTACAGGCAAGTTTAGTTCTTTTGTAATTTTGTATTTTATTCAACATGCTTATTAGCAATTCTCAAGGAAAAGAGTACAGGCTCTTCTCTTTGGGTTTGATCCAAGGGCAATACAAGTCAGTGAGAGTTTTCTCACTGTCTGGAGCAGATCCTTTCTCTACTTGCAGGGAGGTTTTTTTGCATTAATTTTGGGCTTCTTGGTTTATAATGTAAAAGCAGGGATTGGTTTAATTTCTCTATCCCTCTAATTTACTAAACCCAGTGCTGCATGTCGGTACTATGGACCACTGAAATCACTTTGTAGAAGCAGAAAAAAACACCATAGAAAAGCAGGGTTGGCAGGAACCTCAAGAGGATCTCTAGTCCATCCCTCAAACCTAACGTAGGCTAATAACACAGGTGTCCTTCACAACAGCTTTTTATTTGTCCTGTTCT